GTTATATATAATAACCATATTGAAAGTACATTATATATTTTCAAAGTGGTGTATGTTGTAAAGTTTACAGCCCTTTGAACCAAATAATATTCTCTAGTTTAGTACATGAGATATTGTTATTATTATTTATTTATTTATTTATTTATTATTATTATTATTATTATTATTATTATTATTATTATCATTATTATTATTATTTAATGTTCTACAATGTTTATAGTAACAAAATTTAAACTTCGACTAGAAAATAAACCCCAAAAACAAAAATAGTGCACTTAGTATATCTAAATTAAAAACCCATTTTCTCAAATATAAATCTGAAATGACACATGCAGAACACAGTTGGCCTTGAAAAAATGTGTATACCAAAGAAAAACAAAACGTATACTACATTTAATAGCAATTTAGATCGTATCGGGCATAGCTTATCAACAAAAGAGGTTTTTTTTAATCAATCCTTTGAAGAAGTACCCCAGGCAGGAAATTAACAGACGATCTTTCGCAACAAGGCGAGTGCCACACCACTTTACCATAGGGCCGCTGGTATATTGTGGATACAACCAAATTGGGACACCCTTCAAACAACTGACATACGCCCTCACCAGGGAACAGTGAAACTTAACTGTTCCCTGCCCTCACAAAATGGGGCTGATGTAAGCTAGAGGTAATTGATGACAGATTGATACTACATGCATGGATGACTCTTATACAAGTTATTGTATAATTCACTGATTATTATAAACCTTATAAAATTTACCTAAAATAATTATAAAATTCAATTATTTAAAGGTATTCAAAGTATGTTTGCCATTCCCATTTCTCTCCCATGTCGTTAACTTCTGCCTCATTAGATTTCGTAATCTCATAGTTTTTTATCGAGACAAATGCTTTTACAAAGTCTTCGCCAAATGCGTCTCTGATCACATCGTCCTGTAGAAATGCTTCAATGGCATCAGGCATACTTTTTGGTAATCGAGCTGTGTTTTCTGGAAGATACTCTTCTTTATACGCAGACCCTTCAATGTAAGGAGGAAGTGGAAGTTTCTTCCTGATGCCATCTATACCTGCTGCAACTGTAGCTGCTAATACTAAATAAGGATTTGATCCCGCGGCTCCAATACGATTTTCTAAGTAAGTGCTACTTTCATCGTTAGTCTTCACACGAACTGCCGCTGACCGGTTGTCGAACCCCCACGTTGGATATGTTGGTACACATTTCCATTTAATGAATCGCCTTCTACAGTTGATGGTAGGACCCATTATTAATGTCAGCGCCGGGGCATGATGTAAAATTCCAGCTATCCAGTATTTGGCAACCTCAGATAGCTTGTCAGGTGATTCAGCATCAAACGTAAGGGCTTCCTTACATTCAACGTCCCATAAAGAGTGGTTAAAATGACACGATGAACCACTTAGGCCTGGAAATGGTTTGCTCATGAAAGAAGCCATTAGGCCGTGTTGTTTTGCAATCTCTTTCACAGCACCTTTAAAAGTGAACGCAATATCGGCAGCTTTGATTCCAAACGACGGCTTGTATGGAATTTCAATTTGTCCAGGTCCACGTTCGGTCTCTAAGTATTCGATATCTATTCCTACTTTAGGTAAATCTCGCCCAAGTTGATACAGAAATGTTGTACTTTCGTAGAAGTTTTGAGTTGCTCGACAGCTTCCATTTTTGAATATAGGTTCGAGTGTGTCTTCTTTGACGGCATAAAACTCGTATTCGTGAGCTGATAACAAACTGTAGCCCATTGCTTTAAGTTCTTCTAATTGGTTTTTGGCAATAAATCTAGGAGCAGCTGACACTTCCTTACCATTTAAAACTGGCTCTAAAAGGATTCTTGCAGTATTCTCCCACCAAGGAATAATTTCAAAAGTGTCCATGTCAGGGAGTAAAAGTACATCTGCGTGACCGAGTTCGCCGGTGAAGCCCGATCCACGTTGGTAGTTACCTACAGTATCTATTGCTAAATAGCCAGCGTAAAAAGTGACACCGTTCTCTGCCTTCGACTTGAAATGTCGAGCTGGAATCATTTTCATCCGAGAAATTCCGGACATGTCCGTAACTTCAAAACGGACAAATTCAATATCTGCGTCCTGAATGCGTTTCAAAACTTTTTCCATTCTCGTTTATCTGAAAATATTAAAATATATTGTAAGTTCTTAGTAGTACATAGTACCATGCTTTGCTTTGCTATGCTTGTTTCGGTTAAAGAACTCATCAGTAAGACAGTGGTGTCTATCTGATGGCCAGTTGTCTTTCAAAGAAAGATGCCTAAGATTTATAATAATATAATAATTGGTATTTAAATTTGTTTTTCTCCGAAACGTGGAGAATGATATGTTTCGCATTTAAATGAAATCAGATACAATAACTACCGTTAGATAAACTAGGTTTTGTATACGCTTTGGAGGTCAGATAACAGTTTATGGTAGCCAGATAATCATTTCTTGGTTTGTGACATATTTTGAAAACGTGGGAAAATGTCGAACGATTGGGAAAAGAGGCCATAGTTTTATATATGTGTGTGTGTGTGTGTGGTGTGGGGGTCACTTTTCGGGTGCGTGTGTGTGTGTGGTGGGTGGGGGGAGTGTTATGTTCACAATATCTCAAAAACGGCTGCACAGATCTAAATGAAAGTTAAGGGAGTGCTAGGTATGACCCAATGCAGAAATGATTTAATTTTGGTGACGATCCATGCCAGAGTAGTGTGCGGATATTAGAACCATTTAAAGGAAAACGTCCTAGACCAGATATTTTAAAAACTAATCAACTGATCTGAATGAAACTTTCCTGAAATTTTAACCTAGTGAGAAGGAAGAAATTTCAAATGTTGGTGACGATTCAAATGCGGGTGTGAATTTGAGGTTCATTTAAAGTGCTAAGGTTTCAGACACAAACATCTCTAAAAAACTTATCAATGGATCTAAATGAAATTTTCCAGAATAGGGTGTGGATATGAGGACCATTAAATGATATGTTTACCGTATACCGTAGGCAAATACAATAGCTGTATGATGAATATTCAAATTAGTGCAATTACAGTAAATGTGTACAGCGTTTTATATATACTAACTTCACTTGTTTGGGAACTGATTGGTAATATTTTTAATGCATCTTTATGTTTAAACATGTGACGCTAAAAACCAATAATCCATATTTATTATTGACTATTTGCAAAATATTTTCATTTCAACGCCAGTACTTGGTATGTATTATTTTGTCAACTATAAGAGTAAAACCTTCCAGTGTGTTGAATCAGGAGAAGTAAGGAATTGGCAGGTTATAACTAAGCGTTTCCGGTTGGCCGGGTTAGTGTAAGTTTGGAAAATTAGGTGGCTTAATTGTAATATTTTTACAGTGTCAGTAGCGGAAAATAAAATGTTTCAATACCGTACTATATGTTTGCTTGGATTCTGTGTTAGAAACTTAACATGAGTATAAAAAGTAGGCCTACAGTGAATTTTGGGCAAAGCATTTCGGATTACAAAACCCCTGAAAATGCCCACTCTTAAAAAGAGTCCTCAAAAACCCTGACTAAAAGTGGAAAGAGTTTCAAATAAAAAGTGTTTGGGCGAGTTACTGTGTGTTTCTGAAGAGGAGCTGAGTGCAGTAATTTGGGGTATTAGTGGTGGCAGTGGCGTAATTACCGCAGGTTTAGGTGGTTCTGGTGGGCAAAGATCGACCGCCAAAAGACTCCAGAAGCGTATGAGTAAAACAGGAGGGGTAGAAATAGTGTCGAATGACAAGAAAGTTCCACCACCGCAGTTTAGGACGCACAGCGTCAGTCATGAGCAGGCTTGCCTTACCAGCCTCAGCCTGCATTGGACCTGATAGGTAGGAAACTCACAATCACACGAACATCGACTTTGCGAAGAAAACCACTTTTTGTGAAATCTCTGAGCGTTTAGAGATAGAGTAAGCGAAAATTACACTTCCAAGAAAGAAGGCGAAACAATTAGGATGTTAGAGTAATAACAGGTTAAAACACAATAAATTATGAAACATTTTAAATCCTTCGAAAGATTGTGTATTCTGTAATTACGTCTATTAGGCCTATATTAGTACGCAAGTAATAATCCAGACTCTTGACACGTTGTTAAAATTTTCCTGGCACTATTTTTAATTTAGGCTTAACTTAACTTCTGAAAAGAACTGCTACTTAAATAGGCCTATCTCTAGAATTAGCCAATTGTTTAGTGTTTCTGAGATGGCTTTAATGTGGTAAGAAATTTTCAACTACAAAGACAAGATACACCCTGCGAGTGGGTCTAGTTATGTTGCCACACATATTACAATATATTTATAATTCAATTAGTTTGACGCAAGTAACCTTGGAAATAAAACAAATATAAGAATCTGATGTAAAGGTACTGTATGTGTACTGTTATGCAATTGAGAAGCCTTGACTGAACAGTAGTTAAATAGGTCGACTCAAATACCCAGGTGATCCATTGAACCAGGCCCCCGATCTCAAAGGTGCCTCGATCTTTTGGGACACCGCCCCTTATAAAAATCTAATAATTAAATCAATGCATATAATTATACAAATCCGGATTGATAGTATTTATCTATATATATTACGAACAAAATTGTTAAAATAATTATACATGCAGTAACTACCCGTGGTTTAGAGCCTACCTGATGACAAAATTCTCTGGTGGGGTATAAATTGTAATTTTAGACCACAATGTAGGGACTGGCATCAAAATACTTCCTCGTCGTGGAGTCCGGGGTCGCTGTAGGACCTGAGCTGGATCCCTGTAGAAGCGTAGGCCTCACTCTAACATATTGATTCCCCACCCCACGATGTTTCTTATTGCTCTATTAAGTATAAATTTATCAAATGGTAGATCTGTCCATGGAGGAATACCTACATGGTCTGTTTGTCAATTAATTTACTTAATAAATAAACAAAAACTATACTAGCACTCTGTCCAACTTCAACATACTGTATTCACTTGTAAGTCTAATTCAAATACAATTGATAGGTTTATTTAAATATTTCATAGCATAATGTTGTGAACGCCGGCAACTATGGGGTGCCTTACGCAGCAAAAGTCCATGTTAAAATCAAAATGTAATTGCAAAATTCAATGTCTGATTTATTAAAACGTAGGCATAATTTTCTCAAAATGTAGATCTAGTTTCCCAAAATGAAGTTCTAATTTTTGAAAACGTAGTTCAAATTTTCCAAAATGTAGTTCTAATTTTCTTTAAAATGTAATTCAAATTCAAAACGTAGTAACTTGATCAAACGCCCTCTCTAAATTCTATTCCAAAACGTAAATCAAAACCCAGCCTGGTTTGAAATGCATTTTACAACAACACTAGAACATGGACTTTTGCTGCTCATGGCACAGACACAAAATGTAAATCAAAACTAGTCAGCCAAGCGTGACGTGGGCCTGTGCCATTAGTGATGGGGGAATCATTTTTCGCTGCAGTCCAATGCCGTGAACAACGCTTCCCAGTGCGTCTGCTAATTTTTAATGGTCAGGGTACCGCGATCACGAGCCCTATGGTAGGCATTATAGGCAAGGCTTATGTGGGTTGGGATTTGCAACAAGGTCTTGGACTATATATAGAGGCCTAGTCCAAGACCTTGTTGCAAATCCCAGCCCACATAAGCCTAGCTTATAATGCCTAGCATAGGGCAGGGCCGTAGGCAGGATTTTCGATGGGGAGGTGCGTTTTGCAACCGAAGTGGACCTTACGATGGGCGAATGCCTAGGGGTCCCCGTGAGGGTGGGGGCGAATCTTCTGGAAGCTCTGAAAAATTAGCATTTTGAAGGCCTTTTTTTAATGGATTTCTAAAATCCATAATTTGTAATATCCCGATTTAAAGTTTCATTCATTTGTGTATTGTCTAGGGCCCTACAGTAAAAGCAGGAGAAATAGAGGGTGGGGGTGAAGGGAGGAACTTGAGACAGAAGGTCAATACTACCTCAGCCCCACCATGATTGGGGCTGAGGTAAGAAAATTTATGATTATGGCACCTCAAAATTACCGGAAAGGGGACTCTCAGACAAACTTCAATTATGATTTTTATTTTTTCTCCATTTTCTTTTATAATTTTGAGGCTCTTCTCCATTGAATCCACCACTGTGAAATTGTAATTTTTCATGTTCTTTACATCTGTAGGCCTACAGATGACATGGATCAATCTGCAATCACTGGAGCTGATAATTTCAGCACATTATTAAAAATCAACGGGTAGAAGAGCGGGCAAAAAAAATGTAATGCATACTATAGTATTTCGCGATAATTAGGAACGATTTTAGTGAAATATTAGGTTTTAAAAGTAGACTTTTTGAAATTGGGTGGTCCAGGGGCAGAGGCCCGAGGGGTTTGTGAGAAAATCGACAAAGTAGCATATTGAGGGTCTTACATAACAGATTTCTCAAACTCATTCATGAATATTTCATTTAAATTTTCATTAATTTGGGTGTTGTTGGGACCTGAAAAAGTAACGTTATTATGTCCTGTACATCTGCATGCCTATAGATAACATTCTTCATATTATATAGATCAATCTGCAATCACCGGAGACGATCAATTTCTAACAAATTTCATGCCACATTATTAAAAATCAACAGTTAGATACGCTGGCAAATATATAATGCAATGCATGCTATAGCATTTTGTAATAATTAGGAACGATTTTGTGAAATCATAGGTTTTAAAAAGTGGACATTTTTGAATTTCTGGGGTGCGTCCGCACCCTCTGCACCCCCTCCCCCAACTGCCTACGGGCCTGAACTTGTGATCGCGGTACCCTGACCATTAAAAATTAGCAGACGCACTGGGAAGCGTTGTTCACGGCATTGGACTGCAGCGAAAAATGATTTCCCCCTCATTAATGGAACAGGCCCACGTCACGCTTGGCTGACTAGTTTTGATTTACATTATGTGTGTTTGTGCCATAAGCAGCAAAAGTCCTTGTCAAACCAGCCAAGCATCACTGTTTTGAAATACATTTTACAACAACACAAGACATGCGAAATGTAAATCAAACTAGTCAGCCAAGCGTGACGTGGGCCTGTTCCATTAATGATGGGGGAATCATTTTTCGCGCGCTGCAGTCCAATGCCGTGAACAACGCTCCAGTGCGTCTGCTAATTTTTAATGGTCAGGGTACCGCGAAAACAAGCCCTATGCTAGGCATTATAGGCTAGGCTTATGTGGGCTGGGATTTGCAACAAGGTCTTGGACTAGGCCTCTATACTATAGTAGGAGGACTAGGCCTCTATACTATTGCAATTACATTTTGATCTTAACATTGACTTTTTCTGCGTATGCCACCCCATAGGCAACACGCTAAACATTCGTTCGTGTAAGTTTTCTAGAAGTAATCAAAACGTTCTAATAAGTTACTAATACGCTACCGTATTTATATATTTCATAGCATTATACCCTGTGTATTCATAAAACCTGTTTTATTTAATTAGACATTCGTCTGTTTAAAATTATTTCACAATATCCATCAACTCATTGTTATTCATATTGCATAGGTATTCGTGATTATTAATTCATAGAGGAATAAGCATATTGCACCCTGTGTATTCATAACACATGTTTTAATTAATTTGGCCTACAACTTGTTTTAAGTTCCACAATAGGCCTATTTGTCAAATCGTATACCGTAAAACCTCGCATTGAAGCCCATGGGCTTCTTCTTTACTTGCGAGCTTTTCAATAGGCTTCTTTTTAAGGCTACCTTTGCAGAGTAGAGAGGAGGGGGGGGGGCTTCTTTTCAAAATGAATGCTGCATATTTTGTGAATTTGTACTATAAAACAATAAATAAGGCTACTGTAACACATCAATATGTATCATGGAGTGTATTTAACTGGCATTAAATCACCTACTGTATAAACCAAACTTCTTTTTAATTTATTTTGTACAGTGTATGTACTGTGCTCGAAAAGAAGCCTGCTATCTTGAAAAGAAACCCATTGGCTCCCTTTCGAGATGGGCTGCTTTTCGAGGCTAATTTTGGGGCTTCATTTCGATATTAAGCCCACTGGGCTTCGAGGTTTTATGGTAATAACAATAACAGGCCAAATAGTCATGTGCTCATGTTTCTTTCAATTTGTTAATTCATGGAGAAATTCATTCATCTAGTTATTACATTGGTAAGAAATGTTGAACAAATAATATATATCATTTTCGCAATACACTGCCTTATTCACATTATTTAAAACACTAATTGTGATTTGGATGATTTTGGATCACGGTCTTTGTTCAGATATAGCATTCTTAACCTGTGTGGTGATTTTCGTGGCCCACTATGGCCATATTATCTCTTGGTAGTGGATATTATCCCTCATATCCACAACCAAGTCGGCCATGGAAAGATATCTTTTTGGTCCGTTGAGAACATTTGAAATAGAACGAAAGCATGTGTTGAACATGTCGGTGATGATATTTTTATCAACCCAAACGCTAAATATTTACCTAAGCGTATTTAGGTTTTTTTGTTTTTTTTAAATGATCATAGTTTTATGTACTGGCACTTTTATGTCCATAAGTAATCATATTGAAGCCCCAGAAAGCTAGACTGCTGGAGCGTTCTGTGGGAACAACATTGTCCAACTAACTGTAGACTAAGTCTGTAATTTAGTACAACCTCGATATACCTCGTATACAGTTCATATTTTCATGACTGTAAGTAGGCCTATATGTATCTGTTATCTATATTATCAATAAATTAGAAATCAATATTCTTGCCCGAAACCTAGACTCCAAGATGGTAAAACGAGTAATACATTTTACAAAATACTCATATTCAAGTGTTTATTTTCGGGGCCAAAACTGAAACCAGAATCCGGGATGGGTTTCAGGTTGATTTTTATTATAGATTACTTCAGTAAAAGAGTAATACTTAACTGTATAGGCCTAGAGCTTAAGATGTCCAAACTGTACTCTCGAACCAGAGCCCCTTAATTCCAGTTACACCACTTGTGGTAGTGGTTTACGTAAATTAGGAACATATTTTGGGAGATTAGTTTTATTGAAAGAGATTTGCAGTGAGCGGTGAAATCCTCTCTTCTGAGTGCTCATCATTTGCATTAAAAAATGGAATCTGTATATAGGCTACACACACACCCCCCCCCCCACACACACACAAAACTGTACGAAAAAAATTTCTTACACTAAAGCTAATTTTCTGTTTTAGTTAATGCAGAGCAAGGTTCCATTGTTGATACATTCTTGACGTTTTTAGCATGTACCTTTTAATAGCTAAAGTCAATACAGTTTAGCTTAATTTAAGACGTTTCTTAAAACTAGAAATAGATCTTCTCAAATTTTCACACAGTGGAACAGTACATACTTATGCAAAAAGGATAACACTTCGTGGAAGTGGAGCATTTTCCGAACTTTGAAATGAAATTAACCCTGATACAAATACAGTAGACCGATATAATTGTTGTTGTATATCACATTCATCACTGAGATTATCGCAGATCACATGCCCAAGATACTGTACTTAAGTGAAAGCTTTATCGAATTCCAGTGGGGTCTCATCCGTGGCAATTAGAGGTTAATCCTGTAAGTTGCGTACTTTCAGACAAAAGACAAGACTCCGTAACTCAGCTGCTGATGGAACAAAGGTAAGGCCTATGTTTAGGACCATTTAACTCACAACCTTCTTTAAAATTAGACAAACAATAAATTAACGGATCAGTGTAAACATTATATAGTAAGGGGATATGACTCCCCTTGACGCACACCATCTCTTACTGCAAAGGATTCAAATATGGAGTTACACCATCCTACAACAAATTCTTGATTCCGATACCACTATCTGAGAATCCGGATCACATGAGACGGAGTATGTTTGAAAAAGCGTACAATGATTAACCTATTCAAATGCTTTACTAGCATATAAAAAACCAATATACGAGACTACCATGATTGTTGTAGAACTCGGTTATCTGTTTCAATGAAAAAAATAGATAATTCCGTTGAGTGACCAGGCTTAAAAGCGAACAGGTTATCATGAGAGTTTAAAGAATCACCTGAACTTTGAATCATAACTGACTCCAGTAGCTTGGAAGCTACACGTGCAAGGGCGTCGATCAGTGGTTAAAAGTGGAGGGGGGGGGGACGAAATGAAAAATAAAGTCTTGGGCCGTAGGCTCAAGTTTTGTTTGGGGACCAGGTGGCGAAGCCCCAGAAAGCTCTATAGCCTTTTAATTGATTTTAAGCAATGCAATTAACATTTATTTTCATACAAAATTTCTAAATATCCAGTGGCGGATCAGTAATTTGAAATAGAGCTGGTCCAAGAGAGGGACTTTTACAGATGGAGAGTGTAGACCCACCGTGGTTGGGGCTGAGGTAAGAAAATTTATGATTATGGCACCTCTAGTTGGTCGGAAATGGCACTCTCAGACTGAATTTGAATATAATTTTCATTTATTTCCACTTTTAAATTTCGGGGAAAAAAATAAATTAGGAATGGTTGGCCGGCTTGAATCTGCCACTAAAATAATCATCATAAAAAGTTTTTAAAATTATCCTTTTAGTCATAATTATGCCTGCATATATATTTCGTGCAAACTAACATTCATAAAAATAATGATTTATTATCTACGGGTCATAATAATATACAAAAGGAATAAATAGTTTATAGTAGAAATTGTGCACTTTTGAGTTATAAGTATACACGCTTCCAATTTTAACAACGTTCAGTACATTGTTTTCACAATAAATTTAGCCTCTGATAACAGTTGCACCCATAAAATCTGTGGTTTCTGAGATCTAGTGGTTTCTGAGATGGTTACGAAATATATAAACAATTGCGTTTTTACTCGGTTTTGGTCCGGAAAATACGTACCGCACTTAGAAAAGTGAACAGACAAAATTCATGAGTCATGTATAATTGTTATTCTTTCCATTCGCTTTTAAACGTGGGGTTTTAATTAGAGAAGATTGGTGAAAAGTGGGGGACAATCCTACTTTGAAAAGTGGGGGGACGCGTCCCCCCTGTCCCCACCCATCGACGCCCATTTACACATACTAGAGCAATGGGCATATAATTCCTTTGTCAGATATTTCTGATTTAGACTTAATTATATATACAAGAATTACCTTGTTAAGACTATTAGGAACAAAGCCATGGACAAACATGGATGTGAAACAGGTACTAAAAAAGGTACGTGAACGTTCAGAAGCGAATTCAAAATGTTCATTAGAAAGACCATCATGACCAGCTGCTTTTCCTGTAGGCAGATTGTCAATAAGTGACCAGAATATCAGTACTTAAAATACAATTATCAAGAACACCATTTACAGAGGATTTGTGATGAGATGTATTTAAAAAAAAAAACTGAAAATCGGAAAAATGTTTTCAGATTACATATTTCATCTTCGCATTTAGCATTCTCTATAATATTAGATTGGGTATTGCTGTAATTTGATTTCTTAACCTTAATCCAAAAGCCGCTTAAGTCCCTATCGTTAAAATATCTAGCCATAGAATGAACCCTTAACATTTCCTTATCAAGTTTTGCATTTGCTTAAAAGCAGCTTTAAACTGTGATCTAGCGGTTTTCATTTTTCAAAAATAGGTTCAAATCTAGGTTTACAATTCGAGTGCCACTGAAGGAAGGCATCTCTTGCACTATAATAATGTTGCTAGTACTTACCTATAGAGAGATTTACGTTGTCGATATTTTTCTGTTAACAGTTCAAAACCGAAACAAGCAGTGATTTTTGTTCTCCGTTAAAACCCTTATAACGAATACAGTGAATTTTCAATCTAGATTAGATCACCACCGAGGTGGCATTTGCATCACCGACCCAAAGTTTATCACTATAATTATGGTTCAATTTGAATTAAAGAGAAAGAGTGACCTTTATAATTAGTTTGATTTTTACAGATTTCATGAGAATTTTTCCACGTGTTTTCACCGCGGGTCTCATTAGGTGATATTAATAAGAAAAATAAGCAATACCGTAAACCCTTTAATTGAAGCCCTGGGCTTCCTCTTTTTCTTTATTTTTGCGAACTTTAGATTTGCCTCTTCTCGAGACTACTTTTGCAAAGTAAAGAGAGGGACTTTTTTTTCCAAAATGAATGCTGTAAATGTTGTGAATTTTTACTATAAAACAATAAGGATACTGTAACATCAACCTATATCATGGAGTGTATTTATTAATAATAATATATGTAATATATATATGTAATATATATATATATATATATATATTTGTTCACTTTACATCTGTCTCTTATACACATCTAGATGTGTATAAGAGACATATATATAACATATGTATAATATATATATAATAAATATAAATATATATATGTATTATTTGGGATTTTCCTTGCCATAGCGAAGAAAACAAAATTCGTTACACTATTGAGCCGCTTGTCTGTCCATGGAGGAAATATTTCTCATATAGAATGAGTTTCTTTTTACAATCTCTATCGCGTTTACCACACAAAGTTCTAGCGCATGTGTAGATAGTACACAATTTTGGGCACTGCAGCTCAGGGTTGGCACAGCGGATTTTTACGAAAGGGCCAAATGTAGCGCCGCACCAAACCTGATTTTGTTCGCACGCGCCGCTCTCGAATGAGCGCCGCGGCGCTTAATCGTGAGTTTAATATTTCCCTGTGTGTGATGAAACACTTTGAGAAACATAGTTTTAAACACAATGTATACAGTATTAAAATGTATAAATAACACAATGAAGACATTGTGAAGAAAAGCACTTCTTTATAAACGTTTATTTACTGTGGCGTAGAAACTATTGTAGGCCTACTGAACTAATGGAATACGTGAGATTGGTAACATGAGAACAGGCATGGAGCGTCACGCCATTTTTGATAAGCGCTGCTCTCGAATAAGTGCCGTACTAAAGCTTTATAAAATTTTACAAGCCCCGCGGCGCTTACTGTATTCGAGCATTGACGGTATGTGGGTGTAAATGTGAGGCCAGTGGCCATTTGTGGAGGAGAGGGGACATGGTTAAATATATCGAGATTTGGAAATCGAATAATTTGCTTCAGGATCCGTAAATCTTACGATTTATTTATGTATCTACAATTTTGGAGTTAAGAAATTTATGTGGGTGTACAAGTGAGATTAATGACTTTTTTTGGAAACGAATAATTTACTTCAGGATCAGTCAATTTTTATAACGATATATTTATATATCTAGAATTTAGGAGTGAGAAGGTTATGAGGGTTTAAAAGTGAGCTGAATGAAGGGAAAGGGAGAAGGGATAGGGAGAAGGGATAGGGAGAAGGCAGAATTCAAGCAAAGGGTAACAGTGAACATTGCGAAGCCCTCTAAAAGTTGAGTGTTTAAACACATATGGAAACGTTGTATCATTTTCTCTCCAAGATCGCCTTAACCATTGGAGAAAACTGGATTTTTTTTCACAAAAGTACTTTTTTGGTACAAAATCTAGGATTGCCCAAGCAGATTATGTTGTAAAAAATATTAATCTACCAATTCGTGAAGAAAAAATGAAAAAAATCCCTACAGTTTTGTCAGAATACGCCGATTTATAACAGCTCCTCACGCCGATTTAGATATGGAATTTCAAGAAATTTGAGGTTTTTGGCTGTTCCGAGCTCGTTTCTTACTCCCTCACTCACAGACTATTTCTTTGTTCGAATTAGCCCAAGTGGATTCGTGGAGAGAATATAATAAGCTTGAAGCTGATATAAAACTTAGTATGATTGGTTGGGTAGTTTTATCGGAAAATAAGAAAATATAAAATCCATCCAATCCACGATTGCCTCTCATAGGGTCAAGCGTGAGGGTCCGATTCACTGGTATGACGTCATACTTCCGTTTGCTTGACTTGTGTTCGCAGTGTTTGACTTCTTTCTTCGTGTATTTTGGCCTAATTTAGTTATCAGTTGGATTTTTTGTGTGCTTTTATTACCTTTATTAAAAAACAAATTTCCCAAGACAAGATACTTGCAGCAATTAAGCAATATTTCTGCAAAAAAATGAAATTTATAGTCTGGACCGTTTGAAAATTTCCGTAGGGGTGTACCGTAGAGCTAAACCAATCCCGCCAACACGAAAGTGTGGAGTAGGGGAAGAGAGATCTCAGCATTTGTTCACTTTACATTGTACTATGTGTACTGTTAAATATGTGTTCAAATACAAGTTTTAACTAAAGAATATTGACTGTGCAGATTGAGTTTTGTTAGTATTTAACCCCATAATGAAAATGAAACAAACCCAATGTTTTTAATTGGTCGATCCAAACTCTATTTTTATACCTCCATGGTACAGCAGGGTTGATTTGACCTCAGTTCGCTGCTTCGTGATAGCATGGAGGTATATACCTCCATGGTGATAGAAAGTGGCAAAAACGTTTCCATATGCTTATAGACGATTTAGTGCTCTAATCATAGGAACAATTTATGCACACATAGTCACTGTTTTTTTGCCATTGACATTTTTCACTTTGGCATGGATTTATTATTTTGTTCATCTAATTACTTGCATAACTTAGTCATTCTATTCCAATAAGCTCTAAGGTTTTTAATATAATTGTAAACTAGCTGTATTAACTGTATTTTGTTATCACAAACATGCACAATATTACATACATAATATTGGCCAGAAACTGTTTCACATTTATTGTGGGACTAGATTTTGGCATGATGTTAAGAGTATTATTTGCAAAATCAGTTGGTTTTATTTTTTGCAAGATATTTGTCTTGGCATTATTGATGTTGGCAACAAACATTTCAATTCCTCATTAATTTCAAAAACCTACTTAATTTTGAAAAATTGGTTGAATTGTACATACCTTTACCGAAAAATAAGCTCGATACTTAAATAAATATCTTGATCTTGATTCGATTTTAGTCCACATAGTCACTGCTTTTACCGTTGATTTAATATTTATTCATCTAATAACTTGCATAACTCAGTTATTTTAGAAAATTCACTATCTGAATACAATGTATTCATGCATCGCAAAGGCTCCTATTATAAATTGTAAACCGGTATTAACTGTATTTCTACAACAAACGTATATGCACAATGACTAGCAGTATTACAATTATCAGTTTAGATTGTAGTCAGGGGGTGATAACAATTTTTTTTTCAATTTATTTAATTTCAGTTTTTTTTTTTGCCAGATTAGCCTTTATAAATATCTATTGTGTATTTATGGAAATTAAAACTTTGATTTAAAAAAAAGAAAAAAAAAAAAAAAAAAAAAAAAAAAAAAACCTTTTAAGACCAGTCTGCCCTTTAACGATTATTTAATATACTTTGTTATTCCCTATATTTTATAATATATATTTATATATAGTATATGATAGTTATCTCTGTTGGTTGTATTGTACTTTAGAAAACCAATAATAAATGACCTTTGCAAACAAAAGACCAAAATTCACGTTAATTAAAATATCTCCTTCTATGACAACAAAACCAAAAATACCTTGTCATACCAGCCTTACTCTATAAAAGTTATTTGACTATTAGGCCTATTTATTGCGATCAATAATCTGCTTACATCTAATGATTACAATATTACGTAGTATAGTAATTATGAAGGTTCCGTTGCAGCTGTACTATTGTTAGTTTAATTACGTGACGAATCATTTCAAACTAAAGGCCTTCTCATCATTTATGACGTTAGACGTAACCTTTTAAAGCAACTAATTTCTTCACACACATGCTCATGTGTATTAGACAACACTAGTCCTTGATACATGGCAAATAACAGAAATGATTATGATACGCCCTCTTCTTATCAGTAATTGACGACAAGATGAGATCTCCGAAGTAAATAATGATATGATAGAGATAAACTCTAAATCGTCTCTTGCTGTAAGTATGTATAAATAATTGTTATAATCGTTAACAAAGAGGAATATCAGTCTGAAAAATTAGGTGCTTTAACCGAGATTCGAACCTGAGACCTTCTGCTGTCTATATTCAGACACCTTAAACAACTAGTGGACCTTTCGGTTTAAACAACTAGGCCATTGAAGTTTTATTTGGAAATAAAATCCTATTAAAGCACCTAATTCCTTCACACTCATGAGTATTAGACAACACTAGTCATTGATACATGGAAAATAACAGATTCACACTCACAGATGAGACCTATAAACAATAATTCATTGGCAATCCTGAGCTGATGCAAAAACAGACTTTCAAGAATGTGCAGTGTTTGTGGGAAGGACGCGATACCATCGACCAATTATGAGCTTGAATAATGTAAATCCGGGTGAAATCATGTACTGTAGGCCTGCTGTACTAGTGTGTGACGATTTACCGTCCAGACAAGTGCACAGATCTGGTAGATATATATCGTGGACATTCACTTAACACCTCGGCGTAAAACGAAGAGCCTTGAGGCCTCTAGTTCCAGACCAACTCGATACACAATGCGCAAAAAAAAAAAAAAAAAAAAAAAAAAAAAAAAAAAAAAAAAAAAAAGAAAAATTGGTCCTCTGGAATAAACATTATTTTATTAATAATATTGGATCTCTTTTATTACAGAAACTACACATAATGAGAAATGGCTTAATCACATGACACATGAGGTTCCAACTTTAATTGATGTTGGGTTTTTTTTTATTGATGGTTTTAATTGTTAATAACCTTTTTTTGCGTTTCTGTTTCCCTTTGTATTGTTTTAACCATGTAATTTTTGATGCAATTCAGCCTGTGCTGCAAAATCAAAATGTTTTAATAATAAACCAGAATAAATAAATAAATATTAAAAAAAACTTCCAAAACTGAGATGATATACTTGTATATACATTTTATTAACCTCCCCCT